AGAATGATAAACAACTAGATGGGAACTGTCAGACTTGTCAAGAACAGAGTACATTGTAAATGGCATACTGAATTGGGAAGATGTGAATTTTAGTATTTGGTTTCTTGCTTGGCCAGGTACATGTATGATTGAATTCGTTAGTAGGAAGCAGTAGGTTTGAGTCATACAATGTACCAGCACCTGAGCAAGCTTTTGAATATTTTGTAGGGCATACCTTAACAACAGAGGTGCAAGTTAGTGGATAGTACAGTAACTTGACCATGTTGACTCAGCAATGACCATTATTATGCCAATAATACGTACCAAAGTGGTTAGGGTTCTTGACTAGTGATCAGGATGAGGGGGTTTAAATCCAGACTCTGGCCATAAGTTGTGGTCTTGTACATGTCACTTTGCCACTAGTTGCCTATCTTCACCCAGGAATGGGAACCAGGTAACAGGCTGGCGTCCCGTTCGTGGGGGGGGGTATTTTCATTGTGCTCCGTGATGAGCCACAGTGGCTGAAGGCATATACAATGAAAATACAAAACGTGTCTGGTTTGGCTGAAATTTTGCAATTGTCTGCAAAGCTGTAGATGGGTAGAACTCCCTTTCCATGTATTCTCTGCCCTACCCCCCCCCCCCCACACACCTCTGAGAATAAGAAAGGAACCAAAGCTCATTCAAGGTTAATATGGCAATGTTGTAGGCCAGTCCATCACATGTAAGGCACCTTTCATTCAGTCTTTAAGCCAAGTCACTGGCTGTCTAAGTGAACCACTGTCAAAGCACTCTCGTCCACCCTTGCTACCGGTGCATGTATGTAATAAATGACTGTTTTTGTGGACGGACTCTAGGCTGGACCTGTGTAAAAGGACTTGCGATGAACTTGACTTAAACTAACAGTCAAGTTGAATATTAAAAAAGTTTTAAAAACCTGTGAATTATCTCATTCTTTCAAATACATGTATGTGTCAGCTTAACTAAACACATTTTGCTCAGGACACTACCGAACAAATGTTTTTGGCTAAAAAGAAGTACTTTCTGTGTGCCTGCAACTCTTGTGCGCGGCTGCAGAAATGCCCCTACTCGTGCACACATACATGTACATGTATTTGATAGACTGAGCGGTAAAAACATTTGTGATGTCAGCAGACTGAAGCTGCATGTAGTCATGGTAGTGTAGGTGCTGAAATCCACCTGGATTGTGTAAAGGCTGGCAGAACATTGAGCACTTTAAAAGGGAAATTGAGCTGGTGTTGTTTTATTTAAGCGTCCGTGTCATTCACCTGACCTAATTCCTTCATTCTGTGGTACCCTGTTTATACCGTTTGGCCCGGCAGGAACGGCAGCGAGGCACGTCAGCCCCAAAGACCTCTTTTTCTCATCGGGCAGCGTGGAGATGCAGCAGCTCCAAGCCCTCAATCAGTCTGTGAGAGCCTTTGACAAATCCAAGAGATTGCGCCGTTCCGTCACCCAAGACAGGAGCGAATCCTCACTGGAGAGGTTGCGTCACCAGGTAAGGCCAGTCGGGATCACAGGGGCCTCGCCAGGCGCAAAACGTGCTTTTAAAGCTTCAACTGACTGAAATTATTAAAGACCGTGGGTGCCGACAAAAAAATGGGTACAGACTAATCCGATAAGATGCCCAAACTGCGGTGGCAGCGCACTCACACACACATTCTTCAGCTTGATGTGTGCATGCGTTTGGCAAATCAGGACACCCTATTGGTCGAAGAGGCATGTAACGCGCGCGTACCACCTGTCCACGAGCGTTGTGCCACCGCAGTAATGGCTTCTAATTCTGGTGGCTGAATTATGCTATACATGAAATTGCATATGGAATTCAAGCTATTGTCAGTCACGTTGTACATGTACATGTAGATCTTGATGGACAGCGTGAAAACTTCATCCACATTTGGACCAGTTGTTTTAATATGTTGTTATTGTTTCAAATGTTATTCTAAGAATTTTGATATTGCTTGAACCTTAAATGACATTTCATGTTGCCGTTTTTGGTTTGTGGCAGTGCATTTTCTTTTGCTTTCAAAGCTTCTTTTCTTCACTGAGGCTTGTCTAACTTGAAAAATGGACATATCTCAGACAGGTCCATTGTACATGAACCAAATGAAGGCTTTCATATTCTTACCCTTCCTGTAGTGAACTAAGCCAATGTTGATTCTCTTTGAGTCTAGTTTTTTGTTGGAGTAGGTTACATGTCCGTGTATCTACATGTATGACTAAGTTTGTGTGAGCCAGATTTATACATCTTAGAGTTTGTGCGAAGCAGTTATGATGTGTGTGTGCACGTGTACATTGTAAATTTGTTTGGGGCAGTAATGTGAAAATGTCATCCTGGGTGTCAAATTTTGTTTGTCATGGAAAATGATCATGTCGGTGACTGTTTGAAGGCAGTGATGTCAGAAAACAACCCACGTTAACAGATACATGTACATGTAGCAAGGCGCTATCTTTATGAACATGTACATGTACATTACATTTGTTTCATGTATATTTAATTGTATGCCAACCTCAGGGAGATTTTATTTCCTATTACCTGATTACGCGTATACCCCCAAAAGAGAGGTTGAAAAGATGTCGGGCTGTTACCATGGCAACAAATAGCAGTAGCTTAACTTGATCCTCGTAGAGTCCAAATTTCAAACGAAATCTCAATGGTGGACACTTCTAACAAAGAGTTTACATGTACATGTACATGTAGGTCCAACTTTAGGAATACGTATTAAAGATCCTTCCAGTGTTAGTCTGTCACCCTCAGAATTACCTTTTTTTTCAGATTGAACAAAAGGATGATTGTTCTGTAGCATTCTAAATGGCAGTAAGGACTTCGTAGAATATCAGTTGCCACATCTTCAGAAGCATGTGCCTCACATAGGCATCATGGATTTGCCAGTGAAGTGTAAACTTTATAAGGGATAACATGTTTTGATATTTTGCGGTAGACATGAATTTCCAAGATCACTGCACAAAACAGAGCACTCCTGATCAAATTGTTACTAACATTTGAAATCTCTACCTGATAGAGATAGACACCTCGGCTAGATTCATTGCGCATAAAATTAAGTGTCAGTGATCTCAACTGCAAGTCCGTGTCAGCCAAACGTACGTAAGTGCAGCCATCCAACCCAGGTACCCCCCTCCCCCAAGGCTACAAAACTGCCACCCCAAAAATCGCTGAGGCTCAATCGGATTGGAGGGGGGGAGGAAATCCTCCGAGAATAGCCTGATTCAATTAGACAGGTGCTGATGGCCGCCTAATAAGCCACTAGCTTGGTGCGAACAGCGTGACCGAGGCCACAGGCCTCTCGATTAGGCTGGAATGGCCCAGCGGCGCATGGACGGCAAGATTTTATTAATCAAGTTGTGGCTGAGACGATGCCTTCCAACTGCCGTATAATTACTTGCCTTTCCTCTTCATTGACCCTGTGTTGTGTGCTTATGGTTTTATATTCCAAACGCAAAGTTGAATTACATGTACATGTATAGTACTACATTATGCATGTATGTATACTTACATGTACTGTACATGTACAGCGTACATGCACATGCAGCTGGCGTACCATACCTGTGCGCAGTTGAGCTTAAGAATACATGCACTGGGAGTAGTGCACTTTTTCTCATCCTTTATGTGTACATGTGACACTCAAGGACCAGAGCTGCTTATAGAGAGAGTTGTGACATGAGTGTCTCAATTAGTGGAACCAAAATGGTGGATTATGCACCAGTGTTTGTGGACAGTTAGCATGTGTACGATAGGTGCATGCAGTACTGCACAAATAACGAATAATTTTGGTTCCAAAGTCTGAAGCTAGCTCTACACAAATCAGTCTAGGGTCGACAATTGAGAAAGACCCCCCAGGGTAGGTCGGGATTTGAAATAAAAAGGGGTAAGGATGTTGAAGAGCAGTTTAAAAAAAAAAACCACAGTATACTGGTAGCCATATTCATACATGTACAAACTGTATAATTTGTAAAAGTCTAGTCTGACTGATTTGCCTATTAATAATCATTGGTCTACCTTTGTCCATCCTGTGGGGAGTTTTTTTTCGCCAAAACACAATCGCTGAAAAATTTGGAATTGTAAGATTTTTTCAAGGCCAGTGTGTCACAGTTGGGTATGACTTACATTCCCCCAGTACCTCAGCAACCTGAAAAAAATGTGTCAGTGATTTAAAAAAAAGTACATCCCTCACTTTCACCTTTGTGTGACCCCATTCACTTTCCCCCAAAAATATTACCTACATCTACATGTAGCTCAGGCCTTGGTTTCTTCCATGGCCCAAATTTATGTTAATGCTACCGGTAACATACCCTTTTCCTTCAGGTCATCACTCTTTCTGTCTGGCTGAATTCCCGTCTTCCTTTTCACCACACAAGTTGTTCTTCTGAGTCACTGTCTTTACTCATTGTAGCTATATGTACATGTGTAATGCCACGTTAAATCGCAGATTGGTATGAATATAAATTTACTATTTTACACATATTTCCACAGAGGTGTGAACAGCAAGATACATGTAGCATGTACTTGAGACTGATGTTAAACCATTGTAAAATTATAATTAGGATTTGGACAGATCAGAAGCGCTGAGGAGAAAATCTACATGTAATCTAAGGAATCCAGGATCTGGTTCTCACTTGCCACGTGAGCAAAATGATCAGTAATACAGCCTGTTGACGGATAGTGTGCATTTGGGCAAGTCCAAGCTTCAGGTACCGTATGTCATGAGAAATAGGTTTGTGGGTACACCATGGAATCAATCTCTTTTGGGCGAGGTGTGGTTTTCAAAAGAACTGGTGACTCTTTTAAAAACCACATCTTCACCCAAAAGAGACTGATTCCATGGTGTACCTGCAAACCTATTTCTCATGTCTCTTCCACCATGCAAAGCTTCAAATCTGACGTAGCGTATGTCGCCGGTGTAGAGTACATGTATGGGTTATCACATTGCTAAAAGCTTCCTCACAAGAACAAAACACCCTCAAGGGCTGCTGTTACTGCTTGTTTGAAATAATATCAAGTGCAGTAAAACTCTGTTTTAAGACATTAATTACAGTGGGAAGGCGGCTGTCTTCAGACCAGTTTTAGTCTGACAAAGTACCGTGTCAGAAGGAACTGCAAAGGTGAAAGGCTTTAAGGTGTGGTTGCTCTGTTTTTTTTTGTGCTGACGACATTTTAACGTCAGATTCTCTTTTCTGTTGTCTGGAGTACAAGCCTTTAGGGCTTGACTCAGTAAATGTATTTGCGCACGTTTGTTAGGTAACTTGCACACAGCTGTTCTCAGCATCATTTCCCATGAGAGGAGAGTAAGAACATTGTGCATGTATGCTTATTGGCTTGTCTGAATCCATGGGAAAGAAATCTCAAACTGCCATTTTCTTGTCCTGTATTAAAGGAATTTTGCTGTGATTTTCTTCATGAATACACTTGTTGTATTAAGTCTGTTAACATGGAAGTCACGAGGAGTGTCTTGAGATGTGCATGTACATGTACATGTATATGCACCGCCTATGCAGTGAAACATTCGTGGCATCATCAACAAAAGATGTAATGCTGTACAGGTAGTGTTCCCAAGTCTAGCCACATGGGCCTTTCATAAGACCAGTCCTATGTAACAAGGTGAACGGTGACAATGACTTTGCCACAGGTCATTTGAAGAGCTTGTGATGTGGCTTTTGACTGGGTGAGGGACTGGACTACAACACGGTACATGTACATGTACGTACCGGTGTACGTGATGATTTGTCGATTTTGTCCTAGCACTTGGCTGGGTATGCCTCAGACGTGTGAGATTTTCCCAAGTGCCACGTTTCACACTCAAATGCCAATTGTTCCCAAGTGGCAAGGCATTGAGCCCAATTTGACAGGGGATGCGAGTGATTAGGTGTAACCCAATCCTGAAACTGAAATCATCTGCCCAGTCATCGCAAGCGATGTCTCTATGTTAAGCAGTGTCATTTTTTTTTCTTCAGATTGACCATAACATCTGCATGTTCCAGAGGCATTTCTTTCCATTGACAGTAGTCACAAGTTTGCCATATTGAATCAAAGCAAGGTTTGAAAGCATGAAAGTAACGAAAGTTCATTACGGCTTAATGGCATTTATGATAATGACTAATGTAAAATTTGTGATCAATTAAAGGTTTTAAGCAACATTTTTAAAAAATGCAAAAAAAAAATGAAATTGAAGCATGGAACCCAAAATAGTCTAACACTTTCCCACTTGACATATTATACTGAGTAAGACAGATTTGGGAACATGATCATAAATGGCTTCCCGGTGAATAAGGTCTATTTAATTGGTTGTGTTATTGGATTGTTCTCTCTCACCTTTGTGTCAACTCTTGGTAATACAGTTCTGTGAGTTTGTAGTAATTCTGTCTCTTGGCGAATAATTCATTTGCTTTTTTGGGGGGTCTTTTTGTGACTGGTTGGTCTGTTGGTTAGTCTTAGTGTTATTTTCTTTTTGGAAGTAAAAGTAAAACGAACTGTGAAGACTCTGATAAAAGCAGAAGTAGAGTCATGATAGATGGGATGCGATGCGATGCACCCTGCCTTTATTGGAAGTCATCCATTTACATGTAGTTCCGTCAATGAACGAGGGCTCTTGTGCAAGAGGGATGGAATGAGACCTGAAATATTAATGAAGAACTGCAAGGGGAGGGGGACACAGTCAACAAAGAAATCATTTGCAACTTAATAAGAAATCCACTCAGGGGAGCATTCTGGAAAGTGATTGAAGATCGTGGATGCAGCCATACCGTACCTCCGAAGGGTATTTGAGGAATGGGAGAGAAATCCTCGGTATTAAAATATTGCGCTAGTTGGAGGTAGCATTCAGGGTCGGACAGTGAACTGCTTAGAAAAGCAATGGTTAGATGTGCAGCACCACAGTGTTGCTCAGTCTGTAAAGGGGAACACCGCATTTATGACGTTGCTGGGCATTTGTCTGAGCTCACGCTTGAATGATGATGGGAGTTACTGGGAATCCCTACCATGGCGGTCGGGTAGTAAGGAGATCAGCTCACCATCCTCCACTCTACCCAACCCCCCCCCTTAAATTTCTAAGCTCTTTAATTGATAGAGGTCGGCTAGGGCAGTCGGTTATTGCTCTCACTGCATGTTGACTCGGTCCCCCCCCCCCGATTCATTACACTAAGTGGGGTTTAATGAAATATCGGCGGGGAAATTATTTCTGGCAAAAGGCAACTGGGAGGTTTTTTTATTTATTGCGGAGAAGAAAGGTGTTACCTGTGGGAAGTGGATGAGGTTGTATAATGGATAAAGTGATCATGTGCCAATTAATGTTTGCTTTTCTTCTTGTGAGCTCGACCCTAGGAAAACCTTGTAACTTGATTGCATCTGAGAGTGATGTGGCTTCTCCCAACTGCAATTGAATACATGTAGTCCCCATAGTTGGACACACAAGGAAAGTTGTATAATGTCTTTGCACCGTAATTCAAAGATGACCCAAGTGCCTTTGTGATACTTCCATGTGTACTACATGTACATCCAGGATTGTGAAGTTTTCTTTTTTTTTTACGTTGATAAATTCTCTTAAAGGTGCTAAGTTCTAATTGCAAATGTACCAGGGGAGGAAACCTTAAAAGCATAACTCAAGTTAAAGAAAGGCACATGTATAAGGTTTCACAATGTCAGTCTATCCCGCTTCATTGCATTTTTGAAGAAGTAGTTTTTTCAGCTCTAATCCATTAATTCACTATTCCCTGGTATGATGTTTCCAGCAGACCAACACTGCTGTACACATCTTTATTTATTGTTTTCATTTTTTGTCCTTGTTTGTTCCCTGGTTAATTACAGGTTTTTTTCAGTCTGTGGCAGTTTTTTTAGCATGAGTAGAGTATCAAGCAAATATTGACT